ATCTGACATCCCACAATATACGATGCTCCTTACCTAACACTGTCAGGTGATATCCATGATAGAAATGCCCATGAGTTGTGACCACTTCACACCTGTAATATCCATCATGAGTGATGGCCACTGGGTCGATCTGAAGGGCGGGATTCCGATCAGGTCTGGAGTCCCAGGATATTGTCTCGTCACTACAGTTTATGGCCCTGGTCTCATTTGTATCTCTCCTGTAGGCTCTGGTGCAGGAAGGCTTGTCTCTGAGGATTATTTCCCATCTTATTGTTACCAGCACAGCTTTCTGGGTGATCGGAGGGCAAGAGAGCACAGCCCTTGTATCCACAGGCTTAGACAGGGAAGTGTTAGCTGAACACACACACAAAGCAAATGATGAACGAAAAGGGTGATAAAGAAATCCATGTTAAATTTTCTACAGCATATTCCATAAAGTACTAGAACATGATTTTCTACACACAAAATGTATATAACATATTAAAAGCATTCCAAAGATAAACCCATTTTCTCCTATATTGTGTGTTTTTAGATAATCTATATTTATTATATGTGTTAGAAATATTTTAAGGCCTGGGGCCCCTGGTGGCTCAGTCAGCTGAGTGACTCTATTTCAGATCAGGTCAAGAGCTCACAGTTTCTGAGTTTGCACCCCACATCAGGCTCTGCACTCACAGCACAGAGCCTGTTTGGGATTCTCTCTCCCTCTCTCTCTGCCCCTTCCCTGGTCTCTCTCTCTCCAAATAAATAAACGTAAAAAAAATTAAAGAAATTTTTAAGGGCTTAAATATGATTCAGAAGTTTTGATATGTATGAAACAAACAAAAAAACACCATATAAAATTAATGGACAAAATCATTACATCTAATATTTCGGCCATAGAGACTATTAGGTTTCTCTAATAACTCAAGCTTCTCGGGATAAAAACTGGAAAAGTTGAGCCAGGAGAAAAATTTTCTCTCCTACGTTTCAGTGCGAGACAATAAATCAATGTCAGAATGAAATGCCCATCCGCAAAGGTGGGAATTCAGACAAACATAAATATAAGAAGCATGTGGTACTTTCATTATAAATAGCATGGTATTCCGGTTGACCAAGCTGCACAGTTTTTGAGTTGTTTTTATTTGGAGAATCACACAGTCATAAAATCAACAAGATCTTCCATCCTTCCTTCCCTTTGAATCACATGTATCCCGCCAAACAGTTCGCCTGTGAACTTAGCTCACAGATTCTGTGTCTGACTTTCTACCTAATTATGAGGAATAAATGGAGAATTTCACTCCTTCTGTCCATCTTTTGAAGTAAAAATTAAGCCCTGCAACCTACAAGTATTCTGCAATATATAAGCTCTGGCTCTCCCACAAACCTACATAATGTGTCCGTGGCTGGGAGGGGTTTGCTGAGAGCAGATTGGGGGCATCGCTTGGGACGCACCAGTGACGCAGGTGAGTGGCAGGGAGCTCATCACTCTCACATGAGCAAAACCAGTTGTGAGAGGGCAAAGCTATCCAGATGGCGCTAGTGAGTGCTAACCCCTGCAGTTGAAATCTCTCCTCTCCTCTTCTGGTGTCTCTTGCTTCTTGCGTGATGGACTCACGCCCTTGCATTTCACAAACAAATCACAATCCCATAACTATGTGAAGCAAGGGGGAGGATTTGAAAGCAGATCTAAGAGAGCAGTTAAATCCATGACTTAAGTGGCAACCCGCAAGCACAGGGAAAATGCACCTTCGCCAAGGTTATAAATAAGCACGAAGGTGGCTGCTTGGAGAGCAGCTAGAGGTGGGTGTGGGTGAACATTCAGGTGCTCAAGGGCAGGATGTCGAAGATGAAACCACAAAGGGAAAAGGCTGAAGAACACGTTGTGAATTTTCTTTTGTGTTCTCAGGGGTTTGCACTTCTGCTTGTGAACAGTCTAAGGTTTTAATATTTTGCCCGCTATTGAGCCTCACGATCAGACTCTATTCTTTTAAAGGAAATTACTAGATAATCAAATAATCATACGCGTTTTAACAGCGGCGCTGTCTCCAGAGAAGTAGCTCCCAGGGTGAGCATCCCAAGCACCATGGACAATCTCTGTTCTTTCACCTTCCTCTGCTCTAGGACCCTCCAGCAATCCCCCTTCACCTGTGATGGGACTTCTGTGATTCCTGTCAGTCACCCTTTCTTAATCCTTCTCTTTCTCTATTCACACCTGTTGCGATAATTTATCAGTGACCAGTCATTCCTCCACACTCAGTGGGGTTGGCACCTGTCTAACAAATATAATCTCCTCACAGCCCTGTGATAAGCTACCGTGATTTCACCTCCTACGTCATGGGATAGTGGGTGGATTCTCCTATTGGCTCCAGAACCAGCAGTCACCTTCCAGCTTCTCTGCATCCTGTGTCTACGACTCTCCTCCAGGCTCCTCCAGCCCTTCTGCACACAGACCAATCCCTATGAGATTTGGGGCTTTGCCCTTCTGTCCTCACTGCCAGATATTAGATTACCACCCCATCACCACACACCTGGATTCCTGCAGAAGTCTCCTGACGTCTGTGTCTGTCTCAAATCTCTCCCCTCTTCGGTTCACACCTGACCTTGCAGCAGGTCCAGGATTCTGGGACACGGGTGTGATCCCCTCCATCTAACACCCCTCAGAGACCTCTCCCTGCCTGAAGACAGCACTTACATGTCCTTGTGTTGCCTT